CGTAATCATTTTGTACCTTTTACAGTGAAACATTCAATTTTAATATTGAAAGTCACGTATGGATGACCTATGTTTCGCTGTACCATCCCTATATTCTTGGCACTGACTTCCCTACATCATTTTACGTTTACAAAATGTTTTTTATTACTTGTAAACAGACTTCAAATTGACGAAGGCTTGCAAGTTTACAGTCAGCCCATGAAATCAACAGTTGTCTTCAGTAAAGAGTGGTGGCAGACAAATTGGAATCACAGCAACTACATTTGACTTCCTATCTGTAATGATTAATGCAGTTCCAATGAAAACTTCCTGTGCCTTTGGTCTACTTAAACATGGTCTTAAATATTAACATCCACATACAATGGAGGATCTATGAAAAGACTGTCATGATGTGTGGTCTAAGATCCCTTACCTTCCTTTATAGAAGTTTATTACAATAGAAGTTGTTATGTTAGGCAATAATGAATAACCATGAAATCAGATTAAATATAGTCAAATATGAAAGTAGTGGTTACAATGGCCCTGGAACATTGTTCACATAAGGCATAGCTAATCCACTGTATTCTGCATATGCACAACTTAAAATAGATTAAACATATCTTCCCATTTTTTATTTCTCATTGATTTTTAAACAATATTAATCTTTTTTGTTGTAAAATTCATCATCATGTTTGTTGGAATTTTTTGCCTGGCTAAAATAGAACTATCTGCAGTTGTTTTTACCTAATCTTGAAGTGATAAACTAGACGGAAGGCAGCTAGTGAACAACAGTCATCGGTGCACTTTACAACCCAATACTCAATATTCCTGTTTGAAAATTTCATAGGAGGCCCAGTGGATAACATGTCTGCCAAAACAAACTGCATTTTGGGGCTGTTGGTATGTTATGAAAATGATGGTTGAATTTTACTATTTGGTCTGACAAGAGTTGGTTGGAACCCTATAAGCTGGTGAATCTTCAGCATCTTGAAAGTTGTATATCATAAAACCTAAGTTCTCATGTGACCAGTATAAGTTGTTTCAACCAAAGTTTTGAGTGTTTCAATATAGACAGTTAAATTATCTTTGATACTGATACTGAATACAGTCATAATGCTGTCCTACACTTTTTTTTTTATTTACTATATAGGCCAGTTAAGAATAAAAGCATTGGAAAAATATTTTCAGTTCCAACTGCAATCTTTATTTCATCCCACTTACTGTTCTGAAAAAAGGGAAGATTGTCCCTTAGCACAAAAATTACTGATGGAAAAATTGGCTTTTTTTTCAACCACATTTTTCTGAACTCCTTATCCACCAAACAGCTTTTGGGTCCTAATAACGTACGAGATCTACACCACACTTAAATATACCATCAATAGTGCAACTGATCTCATTAGTTACTGCTCGTGGACCCCTCTTGGTAGCTTGAGGATTAGCCGAGAATTAAAACTTTTGTTCATATAAACGTAAAATATATGTTTATATTTATGCTGAATACAGCAACTCATAACCAGTAGGAAGTTTAAAACAGTTAATTAAAAATTTTCAAACATAAAATGCACCAGTGGTTATCTCACAATCAACTATTGCAAGATGTAAGTAATTTGTTTAAATGTGCAGAACAGCTTCGAGATAAGTCTTGAACTTTAAGATATGCTGTTTCTGTGCACAGGATCCGTTATCATTCTGTATTGAAAGAATATAGCTTCCTATAGTGATTTTTGGGTGGTAAATAAGTAGTTTAATCCTTAAAATAACTATACATGGTTTGTAAAATATAAAATATTCCAAACAACTATTATTAATCTGTACTTTACTGATTAGGTTCTGATCTATATTTCATGCAATATAAATGTCTTCTAATTTATCTAATGGCTCTTGTAATGTGCCTTAAAATTTTAATTCACTTGAAACAATTCCAATGATAACTTTATATTTTTAGTTAATAAATGCATTAGTATGTATCAATATGCAAGTATGTTGGAGAACATAATTATCCTTTCTTGACTTTTAATTCATAATAATTTCATAAAATAAAAATATTTCTAAAACTACTAATTGTGGTTGGTGTGGTGCAAAAAAAACAGCTTCAATTATTGTATAAAACACAAGTTTTATTTACCTTCTGCAACAGGTTATTCCCTGTCACAATTTTTACTGAAATTAGTGTATCCTAACACCATTCTAGCTTGAAATAACTTTCGAGCTTTGAGCCAAAAGTCCAATGTTCATTGATATACATTATGTTTATTTGTGAAGTTTGTTTCACCTTATTTATTGAAGCTACGAAATGTGTACAAAGTATTCAAAAAAAAAGCAATTACAAAAGAATGTTATTATTTATATCCCAATAGTTTAAAATAAAATGCTGCTAAGCATGTTTCAGTTTATATTACTATATTCAAGAAACAATTCACATTTTATGCACCATAAATTCCTAACTTAAAGTAGAGCACAGACATAAAAAAATCTGTGTAGCATTTAGAATTTATTTATTTATAATTTGGATAGACTACTTTGGAAGCATCTTTTTTTTTTTCACCTAAAAGCGTCAAAGATTTAGTCAATGATAACATCGGCCAATTAAATGCCATTCTTTTACATCCTTCATAAAAGTATTGTTTAATTACCTAATATCAAAGCTTAAATCTAAAGCATATTATAAAAATAATTACAAAACAGTTTGTAATCTGATTCAATTTATTTTTCTAACAAATCTTGCCAAAAAAAAAGTTATTTTTTTTATTCTAAAACCAAATAGTGGAGTGCATACTATACATTAATGCTTAATTCCTTTATTTGATACTACCAGTTATATTTATATATAAAATCATTAATCTTTTCATAAATAAAAAACGAATCCTCAGTTTGTCATCTTGAAGTACTTCAGACAAATTTTCTATATGTGTAATTGAATAAAAGTATGATGATTATATTATTGTACTTATCTGAATAAAAATGGCGTAGTAACAAATACCAATCTATTAATTTAGAATTTTTGACAATACTTTATGTCAAAAAGACAAAGTACAACATCTTAGTACAGAGACACTGGTGATAGTGGCAATAGAGCTACCTGAGGAAAAAAACACAATTGTTCTAAGCCTAAAAATGTTTTATTATGTTTACTGGTCAAGCTTTTGTTGCAGCTGAAAATTATATACACTTATTAAAAAAGTAAATACAAAGCCAAATCTGTCACTTGGTTCACCACTTTTTTATATACTGGTTTAGAGTATTTCCACCCTTCAACAGCAACCTCAACAAAGGCAAATCAAAAGAACATGACTAGGCTTCTCATTCAGATGAGTTATATGTTTCATATTTGAGTTGTATTTTTCTCCCAGTAGTAAACCTATACTTGTATATGATTTGAATAATATGTAGCAATAATGCTACTAATATATTTGTCTGTATGATTCAATAAACAAGTTCTATTCTACAAGAGTAATGTCCAAGGTTACCTACGAGGGGTGGAATTTTCCTAAACTGATATAACTGACTGGACTTCATATTTACTTTTCAATATTTTACACAGCTCATTGGCTGAATAATACAGAAGAATAAATTAGTAGCAATATTGCTATCCTATGTAAATATAGGTTTTGCTATGGTGAGAAAAAGTTAACCAAAAAACATCATGCATGTTCTATACACTTATTTTTGGGGGATTATAATATTTTAATGAAATTATTTAAAAAATATTAGTAGAAGGAACCATAGAAAAAACAAATAATCACGAAACATAGACATGATAGTGATACATTTAACTCAAGTTCTTTTCTTTTCATCAATATGCTTTAATTGCATTCCAGATGAGAAAGAAATGAATTACTTAATGATACAAAAGAATTACAGGTCTCTTATTCTTTCTCGCATATAATAAAAAAAAAAATTGCATATATATATAAGAATGGTATAATTTCTATGAGTAAAAAACATGTAGGATAAAAAAAGGTTTGGTTGATCAAGTTCAAATAAACCCTAGTGCTTTCAACAATTGGACCTATCTTCTTATTTACCTCTGAAGTAGACAAGTTCAGCTGTTAAAAGTGTTAAGGTTTTTACGGGATTCCTTTAAATCTAATTTCTGGAAGCTATTCTATACAAATTACAATAGAGATCCCTCTCAGCAAATTTATGTTGAAAAAAATTCAAATACTGTCATACTCATACTTCAAAAACAAATAAGCACCTGAAGTTTATAAACTACACAAAAAAAGCACCTAAAATTTATAAAATACAAAAGTTTTGATTAAATAATAAAACGTATTGAATTCATTTCATTGTTTGAAATGGATTTCTATAAAATTTCTTTATTTGTGTGCGAAAATGTTTTATACATTTATTTGCAAGTTCATTTTACAGCTAGACTGCTTCTTAATGGAGGGATTTGTCGAATTAAAGCAGTTATGACTGTCTTAACTACAAGTTCTAAAAACTAAAAATCAGTTAACTACTGTGAAAAGAAAAAGTAACTTCATTAACATGATACAGAATCTAAAGAACTTTCCCTTACGCCAAACCGTGTGTGAGTGTACACACACTGAATTGTCAAACTGATAATACATGAAGAAAGCATGTACTTTTAGACAGGAAGTCTTGCAACATTACGGTAATTAATAACAAATCAATAAAAAATTTATATCCATACAGCAAAACTTAGAATAAATCTAAAAAACATTAGTTCAAGCACTTTACTAAGTAGTCACGAATACTTTAACCAAATATTATGATTAATAATCAATTTTTGGGATGAAACTTTTAATATTTTAAGATTAACAACTACAACATGTACACAAAAATTAAGAAACATTATTACAGAATGAAACATTATCTTAAAATCTATGATTGATTATATACACATACAAGAGTTTGATTTCATGAGTTTTAAAGTATAAAATGACATTGCAAGATATTTATAAAAACTAGTCTCATAGAGAGAAAAAAAAATGTCGAGAAAATTATTCTAAATGAAATAAAAAGGAATGTATATAAATATAAAAATGCATTAGATAATAACTTATAAGATTAAAATGAACGATGGTTTAAAAAATTCACATAAGATATTAAAAATGGTCTTTAAATACAAGATAATTTTTAAATATTAAAAACACTGTTACTACCCACTTCACTACATGCAACGTTAAAGCTTTTGTACACTGGAATTAATGCTTAAAAGTTACTGAAAAAAAAGGCACTTACATGATTGTGGAGTATACATTAAAACCTACGTGTTAACATAATTATACCCTCTGAGAAAGTCACAAACTATGGTATCACATGAAAGTCGTATCATCTCTTTCTCGACGGTGTTGAGTTCTTGCTTGAAACAACTCTCGGATGAGAGAGGATTTTTCTCTTTCCAACTGAGTAATGCGTTCACTTTTATTCCCCACTTCCTGAAAAGGTTACACGTAAAGTCAAACATTATAATCTATCACCGATTTGTTTTAAAACTTTGAACGCTAATTAAAATTAATTGTAAGCAATCAACATTACTTTTCTGTAAAACCTTACCTGAGTTAGCATTTTGTTTTGTTCTTTCAACCTCTGAATAATTGATTGTGTAGAATCTTGTTGCATCCTGTTAAGCACTGCCGGCTGTCGAACGGCAAGATTCATGTGCAAAGGAAAGCCCTAAGTTTAGAAGAGCCGAATTAAAAATGCTATTTTTTTTCATTTATAACAAATATTATAAAAATTAATGGACTCTATTCCACACAGTTCAAACTGAAAAACAGGAAAAGAAATGGTTGTCTATAAATTGTTATTTATATTTTCCATGTTATTATAACCTGGACAGTTGATGAACATTTTTTTTTGGCAGATAAAGAGAGACCCAATAAAAACTATACCAAAACACTAAGGTATACCTTATGTAATACTTTTATGTCTCCATATAACTAATATTTAAGGGGATTGTTGGTTCAGTCAAGGCTGTCCCATCCATATTTAAATAAAATAAAAATCTAGCCCTCATTGTTTAAATGTTTATTTAACCTTCCCTTAAATTTACTGAATCTACCACAGACAGGGGCAGATTGGCAGTAAAGAATCAGCCCGGGCAATATCACATGCCGCATATGGGCTAAAAATATTAGAAGTTAAAATCAATTTCTAAGAATGTATCGAATGCAGCAGCCCACCGAGCCGGTGTTCCAGTGGAGCAATCTGCCCCCGACCACATCCTAAGGAAACCTGTTCCAAAAGACAACCACCGTGATAGAAACGTAAAACTGTCTAAACTGAATACAACTCCTAACCTGCCAATATATATACTTCCATCCCCTTGTACTACCACTCTGATCATTAAACAAGAAAAAAGATGCACAAATATTGTCAATTCCCTTAACAATCTTGAACACCTCAATTACAGCTTCTCTAATTCTTCTGTTATCCAAGCGAAAAACAACCTGTCCTCGTATGACAACTTTTCCATACCAGAAATCATCCTAGTAACCCTCCTTTGGACCCTTTCCTCTTTGTGTGTGTGTGTGTCTGTCTGTCTGTCTGTCAACATCATTCATTCCCAGGTATCATCCTATATCTTTTACTCTGAACCCTTTCTAATGGTTCAATATCCTTCTTCAGATAAGAAGCCCAAGAGTGATCAGAGTGCCACAGTTAAGCATTGAAAAGCATATTTTTATAAAAATATTACTTCAGAAGTTATGCATATAGAAGAAATGATGAATCAAGTGTAGCAGGGACACGTATGATTTAAGGTATCACAAATGTCACATTGTGGAACTATGTATCAGTATAGTTTTTAATGGGCCATTCTGTATGGTTTATTGGAAGTGAAAAATTTTCAGAAATTCAAAAAAACCTAGAAAAGTAAAAACAAACAAAAAGTATATAAATTAACATGCTTTTTTTTTTAATTAACATGGTTTTAAAAGCAAAAATAAAGTCACAAAGTATGAAAACTCTTCTTTATCTGTCTAAACACCATGCGATATTGATTTCTAAGAATAAAAATAAGAAGCATCAAACTTGGAGATTGTCCTTAGAAGAAAAAAATTTATCAAAATATATTATTCTTTGTTCTTCACTTTCTTTTAATGAAGATAATTTATATTTCTACAATATTTTGATATATAACTTCAAACATTGAATAATAACTTATGGTCAGAATGAACTTAATTATTGAATGGCCTTCTGGGCACAGAAACTTGTGAGGGACAAACGATAAACCTGACAAGCTACTTTTCCACAACAGGGACTCAAGTCCAAAATAAAAATTAAGAGCAATGGTAAAAAACAACTGTATGCACTGCCGTAGCCAGGGTGGTGGTGGTGGTGTAAACCCCCTTTGGCTTGTATTTTATTTTTCACAAGGAAATAATAAAATTTTAAATATTATAAAAATAAATAAAAATTAAGACTCACCCCCCACCCCTTTTCAAATTTCTAGATACGCCACTGCCTGCATGATACATTATTTTTATCAAAAATGCTAGTCCTATTGGTTTCCCTTGCTTCATCAGCTTTCAGAATTTCCAATGTGGTCACATAGTTTCTTAAATTTTTATAAACAAACTATATGTGGACACTATTAAGAAATGTTAATATAATCTATACAATAATAGTAACCTTAACCAAAATATCAAGAAAAAAAACAAAAATCCAACAAGACAAATTATAATAAAAAAATGTTAAAAGAATTTAACAATTTTTAGTCTCTAAAGAATTATGTGCAGTTACAATCCAGAGTAAAATACATAAAAAATTCAAACTTATATATATTTTTCTCAAAAAAAAAATATCCAGAAAAATACAATTATCTACAGTTTTATACAGAATTGTATTTTTCTTTTCACAGTTACTTAAAGTTACCTAGGGAGAAAAAAATAAAACAGTAATTAAAAATATTAGAACTATGAAATGGGAGAAAAAAAAAATCTGTAACAAAGTGCTTGGTTTTACATAAATTATAGATTTGTGGATTTTAATATTTATTACGTTAAACATTGATTAGCATCATCTTGTTGTTTATGAATGTTTCTTTTTTTGAAAAATTCAGGAGTACTCCACTGATGCTCACCAAGAAAAGTTAAACTTTCAGATGACACGGATATTTGAAGTAAACCAGCACTTAACAGCACTTATAGAAAGTACTGAAAAGGTTTGTGATAAATAGGAGGTATTGTTCCTTTCCAAAGCAGTGTCTTATGAGAAACTTCCTAAAAGGTTTTACAGTTAAGAATTTATATCTTGAATTTATTCAGTATCTTCAATAACAGCTGCAATGACCACCCACTGTTTAAGTACTGCATCAAGAAATGAACGTATGTCTTCCTGGAGTGAATCATTTGTAAACACCAACTGTATAAATACATTTTGAAAGTTTCAGTTTCTAAAAGTGATCGTAGACAAAAGTTAATCATTGGCTACATAGCGACAATAATCATGCTTAACATTTAAAAGTTAGAATTGAATAAATAATGAAAAAAAAGAAACATACTAAAATAACAACAGAAAAAAATATTATTGTCTAAACTCTTAGTAAATATTCCATCACCTCATTCAAAAGATAAACAAAGTTGAATCATTTTCTTTTCCTTATATTTCCAGTCCCATTACTAACATTATTTATATTGTTTTTTTTGCTACTGTACCTTGACTTATCACAAACTTAAGTAATTATTTTTCACATATATTTCTTTTCTTTTTTTCTCTATTATGATGCAAAAATTGATTCATTGCTGCAGGATTCTCTTCCAGTTAATGAATTTTACAAAATTTATATTGAGAACTTTTAACAAAGTTTAATACAAAAGCAGTTAAGGGTAGCACATCATTTACAAGTTAGGAAAAAAAAACTGTGATGGCAGATCTGATTATAAATGACCAAATAAAAACCTTGAATTAAAGATTTTTTTTCAGATATATAAAGTGAATGTAGATTAATAACTTTTCAAACCAACATCCAGGGGAGGATTAACTGTACTTGGGGCCACAGGCTAATTTTATTTTGGGGACCTTTTTCTATAGATTTTTTATTAACAGTAAATGTACAGTACATAGTACATTTACACTTATGACACTTGGGCTAATTAAGAAACAAACATAAAAGTACCTTAACAGTGTATTTTTGTCGTTTGCTAAAACAAAACAGCATAAAATAAATTTTACTTTGGGGCCTATAAAACGTAAAATAAAGCAGGGAAATATATTGAATATATTTCTATGATTATTTTACATCTGATATTTTAATATTATATTCTCTATATATTTATAGCTTTTTTTGTTTTTTTCTGAACTGATTGGGCTTCAGCCCCAATGATAATCCACCTCTGCCAACATCCCATGTTAAAATGCCATTTCAACAGTACACAGTTTTTTAGACAAGAGAATGGACTCTAACTTTTTACTTCTACAAAGTATTTAGTCCGTTTAATATATCCTCTAATTGCTCATAACTATTTCTATATTGCAAATGATTATGAATAAATACAGCTATGACCAACAACATAAATACTAAATGGCAAATTTGTTTGTTGTGGGCACTGAATAAACTTTCATTGGATTATATAACACTTAAACCATTTATTGTGGCTTGGAATTATTCATGATATTGTATTTTATTGTATTGTTTCAACCCACTGGAGTCTCTTATTTTCAATTTTAATTTAAGTGTGTGGTTTTTATAGATTACTTTTAATGTTCCATACTTTACATATTTAAAAAAAATAAAAGTTAACTACTTGTAAAGTTGAACTGATAGATGGTCGAGTCTTTTAAGCAATAAATCCATGCTTAAAAAAAATTATGATGTAAATTTCCATAAATATTCTGCATAAAATTAACTTTCTGAAACTAAAAATAATTGATATTTCAAAACTGTAAGTACATCCTGTCACTAACTAACTTCCCTGAATTCTCATTCATTACTCATATGAATACATCAATGAACTGAACTCTCGAACTAAATACTTCACTAACTGATTGGTACACTAACTCTAACGAACTAAACTTAAAGTTCACTTCGGATGAAGTTCGCCTCTATATCACTTACAAAGTTTGTGTTTGTTTTGCTGACATAGCGCATTTTCTCCTGGACGCTACCAATCTGTTGCTGGTACCAGTCCCGAGCTCGTTCAACTGCTTCCAATCCTTGGAACAAAATGTCTCGTTCCTGCTCCAACTGCTTCATGCGCTTCAACTGTTGATTTAAGAAAAAGTTTCAAAGACTTAATGAACCTCATACTTATTGTGCAACAAATAATAAAACAATTTTACAATGCTAAGTTTAATCTCTGGTGTCACCCATCATTAGAATATTATATGCTAAATTTTTTTCCAGGGTTTTCTGATGACAAAACGAGATGTAAAAATACCGACATAGGTTCAAAATTATAATCTGATAGTTCTATGTACAAGTAACTCTCAAATACTATCTACTAACTTAAGTTTTGGCAACTAGACTTTGTGACATTTCATGACAAAAAACACCCCAGGATATGACCTAACAGGTTGCAATTTCTCATGAATGGATGTATAATGTTTATCATCATTTCCCCAATGATATTTTCTTGTATGCATTTATAGTGTTAGCTGCAAAGCCCGCATAATTATGCATCAGGATTGGGTTTGGGGATCTAACTCTTCTCAGAGAATGAACATTCAATATTCTTATTCCATTGTGCTATGAAAACGAATGTTATATTCCGGACTCATTAAACATGTTGAAAGCTTCCATTCAGTAAAGTTATCTTGACACCGGGCCAATGCAATGAGCTGTACATTACAAATGTTAATTCAAATATTTCTGTTGTTTGCATTGAAAAGGAGAGCAAGCTATCAGGGGCAGCTGGTCCCCCAAACCCCTGCCAAAATGTACCCCTTCAACTTTTCAGTTGTGATTGCATTTATCTATTATCAACCTACAAATGTGTTTATTCATTCAATTTTGACATTCTTTTCAATTTTTCGGAGTACTGAACAGTCACCAAATTTACCACCAATAAGCAAATCCAATGACACTTATGCAAATGAGAAGTCAGTTTCAAAGCAAGTCTGAGGAACATATTTCTTTTGAAGCATTATAAAAACATATTCAAATTCATTTCTGCCAACTCTTGTTTTCTGAGGTAGCATTAATAAATTTTATACGTAGTTTAATCAGTCATTATTTTGATATATTTCCTGTTCAGATTAAAAAGAAAAACTAATGTTGCAAAGATAAAAATTATTTCAAATCAAACTATGATTACACTTTGCTTACTTATAAGCAAAACCTTACATGTATTATGAATACTGTGTACTTCCTTACCTATATTTGTGTGCTTCCTATAAATAAAGTATTTAACGATATATATATATGTTGAGTACATTACATTAAAATTAATTTGAATATGCAAATCAGCAAGACACATGGCAACCACAACCAATATAGTCGCAGTAAAATTATATGTATCAGAACTATGTTTTGACATTGTTTGGTATTTTGTAGCTGGTGTGATACCACCAAAAAAATGAATTGCTTTTGGGAAGAGTATGTAACAGCCTTTCCTGGTGCAACATATTCATACACTCAGATCATATATAATGATGTGTTCAAATCAGGGACTTAAGAATTTTTAAGACATGGATATCTCTTATCCTCAATGGCATTGAAAATCAAAGGAATATGGATCAACTTGGTGCACCAGAACCATCTAAAAAGAGCCCAGCAATAAGTCATACCCCAGCTGTGTTAAGTAAAGTGTGGCATCTTATAATAGGTGAGAATCTTTGAGCATAAGACCAGTTGCAAATATTGTCCAAGTGCTCCAAGCAACAGTATATATACAACTTTATCAAGAAAGATCTCTGCCTAGAAAAGTGACACAAGTCACATATACAAAAATTGTTTCCACAACATATACATTCAACTGTAGCATACCTCAAGCAGCTGAAGAATGAAATGGGTATTTCTGCAGTTCCATACAAAGAAGTACTGGTCAAGTTTCTAAACCAGTACCTATGAATTTCAATGTGATCAGACTGTTGAAATGAGCACTGAGAAGTGTTTGTTCTCATACACTAGATGGATTATAGAAAGCAAAGAGGTTGGATGTACTTTGAGTATGACAGCCTTACAATGTCAAGATTCATGGTTATCAGCTAGAATATGATGGATGTCATGCTATAGACTGTAACACATGGTGAAGCTCCAAAATTTTTTAATATAACATACTACATTTATACCCTGTATAAATGATGTTATCTCTGAGTAGACTTGTTAAATTTCTTATTCTTTGTAGTAGGAACTTATTTATTTCCACACAACAAGTTATTTCCACTGGTCCACTATCCAGTTAGGCTGGTCAAGGGAATTAAATAAATGTGTCAGACCTTTGAAATTGTCATTAAGGATGCTTAACACTTGTCAAAATCACTTTTCATTAAAAAATAAAATCATATTTCCCAAACAATGTGCATTCACCCAATATTATTGTGTGAAATTAATACTTCAGCAGTCTTTATGAGTTAATAAAAACAAAATAACGTTTGTGTTAAAATGCACTTAAATGTTAACAGAAATTTCCATTTCTTATATCCACCTTTGCCTAATTTAGTTTCTTATGGCTATTTTAGTATTTTATTATTTGGTGTGTAGGAAGAAAATGAGACATTCAGAGACGTCAATTTATTTATTTATTTTACGAACTTACACATAACCAAAGTAAAATTACCTTTTAAAAGTGATGTTTATGTTCGTATTCTTTTGTTTGTTTGTTTGTTATTTTGTACTCATAAAAAAGTTCCACTGTCGCAAAACGGGCTCCGCACTTTCGGACCCTGAAAGAGTTATAGAATGATGGGCATATCCTGCTATTCGATTAGGGTTGCCTTACAATTGACGGTGAATGCTGTTGACTAGAGTAAGTGCCTTCCTTCCCTATAATCTATCAGTATCAGTTTAAACTTTAAAATAAGATAGAGCTAGTGTAGCTTTGTGCGAATTTCAAGAACTAAAAACGTAATTTGTTGATAAAATAATTGTAATACTTTCTTACTAATAAATTCATCCTTGCAATCATTATAAAAAATAAGTAACTTGCACGTAAATAGCAAAATGATTGATTTTACTAATTCTACTGGGTGACTTCGGATTGCTTGTTCATGTTTATAGCAAAGCAACACAATGGACTATTTAAGCCTATTTTTGGTGTTGGGGCCCTCGAGCTTAATGCTAAACCTCTAGTGGGGGAGGGGATAGATAATGAAAAAATTATTATACAATTTATCTTTAAATTTCAAACAACATAAAAACAAATTCAGAAATAGAAAAAATATAATATATTTTTAACAAAATGCTGTCAATTAAAATCAATATAATTAATTAGGGGAGAAAAACCATTATGAAAGTGAAATTCTTATGCATATTAAAACATTTTCATGTTATCATACTTTTACGTAATATGCCACACATTCATTTTTTATATATTAAAAATATATAGTTGTGTCAAGAACTGAATGCAAGTTCCATAAATATAAGTCTTACAACTGTCATTGCAAGGCCTTCTCGACTAGCTTTATCTTGAACAGAAGCAAAGTTGTCACATCTGCATAAATTATTATGAATAATCATAATATATAAATGTTTTTCTGATTAGCAAAACAATTTCTTTTTTTTTTCACTGTAGCACATAACTAACTATAACTGTTCGTTTGTTATTCGAACTTGTGATTGAAACTGAAAGCAAGTACGAATGTAATAATATGTCAACCACACTATATCGGCTATATACAGCGCTAACGAAGCCTTTCGCCTAATACTAAGCGTCATCAGCTCGGCTGGAATACGACAGACACAGTAATTGTTTAGACGCTATTTATATCACCAGCATCTCGAACAAGAGAGTTTCGGCGTGAACTATATAGTTAAGCACACAATGGACTATCTGTGCTTTGGCCACCGTGGGTGTGGAACTCATACCGCCCGACACCCAGGAAAAAGTTTTACGCAATACTTTGCCCTTTGAACAAATTTATTTTTTTCAACGTTCGTTCTACTGCTAGTAATAACAATCTATAGTTTTCTATGAAGCCATACAACTTCCTTAAAATTCTGAACTGGATATGTATAGTACATACACACGAACATTTAAAATGCGTACCTCTGATCCAAAACTATATACACAAATATACATGTATCTTTAATTCATGTCTTCATTTACACACCAAGACGGAAATAAACGTATTTAAATTAATGCAACGACATCATTACATTGGTTTCGTATACAGTACGAAACCAGTAAACTGTTTGACAGCTAGCTCTACGAATAAAATATAATAAAAATTGAACACCATTTTAGTTTGTGGCAGCACTAATGTAAACCATGATTTCTTTATCAATTCGTACTTGAGCTATGCTACATACTGCGCTGTTAAATCCTAATGGTTTGGGTTGTTTTGAATTTCGCGCAAAGCTAATCGAGGGCTATCTGCGCTAGCCGTCACTAACTCAGCAGTATTAAACTAGAAGGAAAGCAGATTGTAAACACCACTTACAGCCAACTCTCGGGGAACTCTTTGATCAACGAATAGTGGGATTGGCCGTTACTTTATAACGCCCTCACGGCTGAAAGGGCGAGCATGTTTGGTGTGACGGAGATTCGAATCCGCGACCCGCAGATTGCGAGTCGAGTGCCCTAACCACCTGGCCATGCCGGGCCTATGTGCGTGTTTTCATACTCTTTACAAGGCGAACAATACGATATCGGAATTTAATGTAGAGCTATAGAAAACCGAGATCACCATCGACTAACACATTACCAAGGTTGTATTTCCTATATCACTGACCTTCATCGACATACAATATATGAATTTAACAACATCATATGTATTAGGGCGAAAGCTATCAGCACCACAAAACAAAGAAGTAAAAAAATATAAAAATCTAATCAAACTTCGGCAAAGACAAAATTTAGAAAATTAAAAATAAATGTCAAACATAACAATAAGTCATAAGTGGTTTATATCTGCATTGAAGATAGATAATCTATCTTCAATTATACACCAATGCGGGTGAAAACTGAACAAGATTTGAAATTATTAATGGGCTAGATTCAGGTGCTTGTTCCCATAATGTCGACAAGAACCTAACTACACATTCACTGTCTGCAGTCAATTTTCGAAAGGTAGTTGCCCAGTAATAACATCAATGAAAGAATAAGCAACTCAACTACAAGTAAACCTATAGTTCAGATAAATTTAAATTTGAAAGAATAATATATGTATATTATTATTATTTACATACTTCAACTAATCGACCAATCACTTGAAAACAATCTTTTCTTGAATACTGGTGATTTTAGCCTGTAATAAGGTGAACTGTGTACATGAAAGGCATCAAACCAGATAGCAATAAAAAAAAACGATTCCATTTTTCTATCTACAAAACTAAAAACGATCTTATAAAAGTATTGCAACCATCTATTGCTCCCAGTGGCTCACTGGTATGTTTGAAGGCTTATAACGCTAAAGATTAGGTTTCAACACCCACGGAGGGCAGAGCACAGATAGCCCAATCTGTAGTTTTATACTACAAAAAAATATATATACTAATCGTTTCATTGTTGTCATTAAAGGGACTTGTGCATGGCTGAGAGAAATACTATTCGTTTGAGGTATTGTGGAAAATACCCGAGATACTAACTCCTATACATATTCCTTAATGCCTTAAGTTCCGTTAATAGACTTCCGTCTGTTACTTTATATGTTTATTAATATTAGGAAGCTGTGCTGTTCGTTTTGTTAGAAATTTAATCCTTTTGCTATATCCTGGTCTTGTCTATATTACCTTATAGAAACTTTATTAATTTGATGCATTTTCCAATAATTATTAATAAACTTGGCATACTTTATTTTGGTATTTACCATATTGTAATCAATCCCATTAGCTAAAGTATGTCTTCTAGGTTCCCGCCTTCTGTTGAAAGCTTTCTTGGCTGTAGGTCTGCTCTCTGTCTGTCTAAATGCAGCGCCACCTAGAAAATATACGATTTTGAAATAAAAATTATAAAATAGATACAAGTTCCACAAAACCAATTAATTGCAGAATACAAAAGTAATTCTACAAATAGAGGTGTCGCTAGGTGCTTAAATGATTCTGGACTCGGGCTCATAACTCGCGGGAATTTTTGGCGTTTCAGTAGATAACGATCATGGATTTCTAATCTGATTTTTCAAGAGTGCCAAATAGAATCGGGGCACGGGCCCTGTGTGCCAGCGCCTAGCGACGCCTTTTGACTAAATTACGTAAGCTATTCAGTACTAAAAATGCACTACACAAAAACAGACAAACAATCAATAGTCTACCTTTTAAGTACTGTTAAGATTTATATTATTGTACGTCAATCACCCAAGAACGTGACCGGGCATTTTTGTATTTTTGAGAATATTTAAACAGTAGCTACATATTTAACAATGGAAAACCAGTGGCACAGCATATAAAACTGAACTCGTGAAGCCAAAATAGATTAACATAAAAAGAAAATCGTGGGTTAAAAATAATTGTTTTACTACAAAGTGTATATAGTTTGTGTTTCTTTGAGGAAAAAAAAAAAACGTTTGAGAAATACTCATTACATGGATAAGTAAGTATTTGAGTAAAAATGAATTTCTCGTCAAACGGAAGAAAATTTATTGAACGGTATTTAATATTGTGTTTCCAATATTCCAATGTGAACCATAGAATTGCTTTGGAAGGAGACGTCATCTTAATTACCTAGGACAGTGATTTCCAAATTCTTTTAGTTTGAGGCTCCCTTGATGTGAATAAAAAAGTTTGAGGTCCACTAACCTATAACTTTAGCACGTTGATTGAAAAACAGTGCCGTAGTAAAAACAATAACATATCCTTTCGACATACTGTATCGTTTAATTAATTCAACATAATTTTTAACAGCTCATTGTTTATTTAGGATTAAAATTAATTCAGCATCCTTAATTTCGGCCCATTTTTGGCGGCCCTCCAGAAAAAAGCTTCACGGCCCCATGAGGGGCCGCGGCTCCCACTTTGGGAAACGCTGACTTAGGAGAATATGCATTATGATTACTTGAAACTCCTCCTAGAAGTGTAACTTTATTTTATATTTATCATGTTTACATAATAGATAGTGTAATAAACATAAATAAACGTCTCAATCCTAAGTTGCCTCAACTTCGACATTCAAATTTTATGCCTTGTTGATTATTATAAATTCACGATCCGTAATAGTATCTCATTCTTTTAAAATGTTTATCTTGATTATTAGTAGTATTAATTTATTTATTTGTAAACGCAAATTCAGTATATTGCAAATCCTTTACATAAAATACTATCTTGTTCGGGAGATAACTCATGCCCAATAACCGGAAGTGAAACAATGATTTCTTTTTTACATTTTTACACCGGATGTAATTTATTATAGTTAACCGCTTAACAAACAAAAAAAAGGTCACTACGAACAGGATTGTGATAACTTTCTCTCTCTCATGTACTCTTACGAAATCATAATGCCATTTATTTGCACAAAATATAACGAAATAGTAAATGCACCTGAAATTTAGTGAGCTATATCATCTGTGTAAATCTTTTTATAATTAAAACACCAGTTCTAACAGGTCTTTATCACGCGACAGATGCCCTTGATCTCCTAAAAGTAATTTAAATAATGAAAAATAGTAACATATAGTTTTGATAACAACCCTCTGACAACTCATTTGTATACCAACGCAATGACAGCGATACCTGTTAGTTTTGTTTATATTATATGAATATATATAAAATGTGATTTCCAAGCTATCTAAGTCATCTATAATGGTTCCACGCGTATTAAATGTTTAAGCGGTATAAAAATAACTATTTTGCTGTTGTTGTTTTATTGTTCATTTCTTATCTGATATTGTTCAAATTTATAAATATTTAATGTTTGTATTTTTTTCCCTACAACATAAGCTCCCCAATGGCAGACCGGTATGTCTGCGGACTTACAACGTTAGAAACCGGATTTCGATCCCCGTAGAGGGCAGAGCATAGATAGCCCATTGTGTAGCTTTCTGCTTAACTTCAAACAAACATACACAGCAGCTATATGTGCTAATCGTCCCTAATTTGAACTAATAGATTTGAGAGAAAGTAACTAGGCAACAGCACAATCCGCCAACTATTGGGCTATTATAACCGAAAAGCACGATATGACAGTCATAATTTCTTCTATTTTCTGCAATGGGACGAAAACCGTCAACTCTCGGATTCACAGTCCAGCGCGCTAACACTAATCAACGCTCGGAACAACATACAATACTAGTTTCGATAAATAAGAACCTATTAGGATTTAGTCATGAGAGCTTATGATTTTAATTATTTACAACTGTCTCGAGGCTGAAGCGATGTGTGTGCTTTCTTGTAGTAAAGCCACATCGGGCTATCTGCTGTGTCCATAAAGGGGAACAGAACCTCTGATTTTAGCGTTGTAAATCCGAAGACTTACCTCTGTCCCACCGGGGGACAGCTGAAGCGATTTACTAGCTCAACTGACCAAAATAGGCTTAATTAATTTTCTTCAATATATAACATACTGAAACTAACAATGTTAAATATAAATAGCTCATAATCATCTGATTTCGACCCCAAAAATATTATTTTTCTTCACTTTTGTGTTAATGCTTTCACGTGGGTTTTGTAAACTTAAATTCAACCATTTCGCTGTGCCAACGATGGTTTTTTTATACGTTGATGGGTTTCATGACCTTAAGATGATTAATTGATTTCCCAAAACAAAATTCTTTGGTTTTAATGGGAATTTTATGTTTTTAATTATAAAGTTACACTGAAATCACAAGTACAAGAAATTATGTGACGATGACGCGTTGAACTCAATACCGAAAGCTATAAAAAATACCTTTGCTGTTATTTTTGTTGAAACGACTTATACGTATGACTAAGATTGTTTAGTTGTTATAAACATTTAGTTTGTACTGGGGAGGTGAAAAAAAAAAAAAAGGTTCAATGCCCGGCAGCAGTACGTTTGATTTTCTTCCTCTCGGAAACTCGAGTGGCGCGTAAGTGCCTACAGACTATGCTTCAATTTCGCTTCGACAATATATTCTTTGCACACACCAATAACATACATCGAGGCTACATGGCTATTCTATAGCAACACATTAGAACGCGTGCGTAGTTCTGTAGTTCATGCTTTGTGGAGGCCTGTTTAAAAAGATGGAGGTGGGGCTGAAAATTGTACAGGTTATGTTCAACTCCTGGAAGACTAAACCACATAGTTTAGAAACCCCTCCCCCATTCCTCTGTGTATTGTACTGACTAGTTCAGCGCGTATGTTTTGAACACCTTTCTATGAAGTGAGTAGCCAGGAAAGGAATTTCGTTGCCCTCCTACTGCGGTCATGAACTATTCGAGTCATTATTCTCTGTTAGTGTTAGCATTACGTGGAGATTTTTTTCCCTCTATTTCTGTGTAGAGAAAACCCTCTCTAACAAAATTTAATAATCATGTCTTAAATTACTTCCCAATTCTTTTCAACTCAACATTTTATAAGGGAGTGGGGAGGGGGCCTATGAAAGAGTAAAAAGGTGTTAATATAAACTAAATATATATTATATCTAAAGGCATAAAAGTTCCTTTGGATAACGCCCCCTATCATCAACTTCGATGGCTAATGAAAGCTGATTAGCTAGAAATCATAGCACTCAACTAATTATCAAAACTAGTTACATAGACAACAACTAAAATTAAACAAATATTTAATACATCTACATATATCGGATGATGAAAACGTCATAAAACAGATACATATAATTATGACGATACTCTGATTCATCAGTTGTGTACTCTCACTTTCAGCAATATTTTAAGCCATACTCCCAATAATCAGTCCAACTGGTTACCACAAAGTACGATAAAGAAACCACAAACTGATTACAAATTACCACAAACTACACAATGAAAAAAATAAGACAAAAAGAAAACAAATGTAAATATATAATTTGAGAAAATATCCAATATTGCCCTGCAGTAAAGTACTCTACAGAAAAAATAAATAAACCAAAATAAGAAAAAGTTACTTTACTAAGGTTTTCATACATATGTACAACACAGGTAATATAAATAAACATAATAACAGACATATTGGATAACACAAAATAATAGCAGAAGACTTAACAAAAGATATTGTGATAAATTGATAAAACGGTTTAATCTCTGTTGTTATGATCCATTTTGACGGTCCTTGCAAACGAAATTACAATGTGGATGTTGACCGAGAATATTTTACCATATTGCACGTGTATTTGTGGCACTTTGTGATAATTAGTAGGATCGCCAATAATAACTACCAAAGTTCGGTCAGCTTAGGACATTTATGTTAGTCCTAAACCCATATACCAAACTAACAATGCAAAATAATTATAGTAATAAATGTATGTATAATAAAAAATTCATATTAACAGAAATAAAAATATTAGACTTATATTGTTAATGAAACTAACATCAAAGAAATAATATAACTTACCAATATACGCAAACTTAATATAATCCTCACGAACAACCCCTAGTGACCAAAGAAAGCACGTTAACAACTACAACAATGTAACTCACATAACAGATAAATGGCTGCGACACTTTTTACAGATTAATTACAGAATCGGGTAGCTAGATAATACATGAAAAACTTAAGGTGTAGGAAGGTACAAAAATTAACTAATTTAATAACAAAATCATGCAATAAAGAGTAGAAATATTAAAATAACCAGTTTAAATATAACTAAAAGAAAAACTTACTATCATATTATGAAAAGTGTATAATACAACTAATCCGACTATAACTATCCCCTACACGGTAACCGGACAATTAGACACCTAATAACTGTCTAGTTGTTCGGTTACCATGCAGGTCATATAATGGAGTAAGTTAAACTGGTAAGTTAATAAACCTAGATATAATTAATTTAGGTAAAGTATGGCGTAGATTTAAAAATTTCATAAAATAAGCCTAGATCTATACAGTTTATATAATGGAGTAAATTAAACTGATAATGTGGTAGGCCTATATTTATATATATATATACAGGTCATATAATGGAGAAAATTATTGTTTAATTGTATAATAAACAAGTGGTGTCTAAATGTCCTACATCGTCATTTTTTAGGTGTCTAGTCCTGGATTCCCCCTACACACGTGGTTTACAGATTTGTTTGATTGTTTTCGGATATTCGTACAAAATTAATCTAGGGCTGTCTGCGCTAGCGGTCCCTAATTTTGAACCGATAGACAAGAGAGAAAGATGTTTGTAGTCAACAGCACCCACAACAAAATTATAGGCCACACATGTCTGACTGAATATTGGGATTCGACCATCACTGTTACAGCTCACCCACGGCCCAAAAGCACAGATCGCTTTCGTTTTTTTTTGTTTTTTTTGGTGAACAAGACAAACATTAGACAGCAGGTCCATAGTGTGGCACACTAACTACTGGCCAAGCTCGGTCCCGATTTATGTTGAACCTGAGAATTATTTGAAATGTAAAAGTGATAATAAGATACAAGAAAGATCATGCTAATAATGAAATTAAAAAAGTAATAACAGTGATAATTATAACAAAGTAATTAGAAGAAGCTAGTGTGACTTCATAGGTTAAACTAACTGGAGATAAAACTAACTCTATAAGGACAAAAGTAGGCGTGTAGTCCTTTCGGAAGTACTCCCTCAAACCAAATGTTGGAATGAATGAATTAGCAGCATCCAAAACTTAAATAAAAAATTCATCGGTGAAATGCTTAGAGGAGAAAGTGGTCAGGTTGGACCTGTGGAATAATTTTCACGGTAAGAATGAATTATATTCTAAAAATGGATTCCACTCAGGCAGGTTAGGTAACAAGCAAGCCTGTAGCCAGGTCTGGAAGTGTGTGTGTGGTGGGGGTGGGGGGTTTGGTTTTAGTTTATAGTTAACTTTAATTCGCCAGGGACGGAAAAAAAAACTAACCGAATATGTAAGTACGGTTTCCTTTTAACTTAACACTG